TTTGGCGTACGCAAGATTTTCTGGCGCCGCCAGCGTTGATACATAAGGCCCCTGATCAGTCGCTGCAGCTGCAGCAGGTCGGGGAGAGGACACAGAGACATGTCCAGGTCGAGCTTCGCGAAAAATAAGAGGAAGAGGAAGAAAGAAAAGGAGGGAGACGAATTACATATCTTGTTAACTTCATCATGTGTCTATTTCCTAGATATTTAAATTAATTTAATGCGGTTTCAGTTGTGTTGATTCGGTCAGGTTGTGTGTCCAAATGCGTGCCAAACGCGCTCATCAGATCAGATATAGATCAGAATATATCTTTATAGATCTAAATGTACTTGACGACTCTGAATATTGGTTGTTGATTATTAATTGCACTGAAATGTGCCTGACACTGTGGAAACCTGCAGATGAGGCATCGCTGACGTATGCCGATACGTCGCCAGTCTACCAAAATACCACTAGACCAGCTGCGCTCGTCCTGCGCTGAGAGCTGACCAGGTTTATAATCGGCGAGCTTTCAGCGCACTTTATACGCCACCGGCGAGCACGAAAATGTCACTGCACTAGCTGATTCTGTCGACACCTCCCTCTGCCACGCCACCACGCCCAGCTTGACGGACCTCGGTGCGCCTCAGTCAATGAAAATACCAAACTGGCTGTATGCCGGGCTCCGCCAGACGAAAATACCACTGCTCAGGGTCCGCCACCCTCTGCCACCTCACCAGCAGACACGAAAATAGAGCCCTAAGATTTTATCAAGTAAAATCTAGAAAGTACCAAGACCATGACAAGACCAAGACTGTATATATCAAAGATAAATCACAACAAAACAGAGCATGTCTATTTACAGATAGTCTATTTACAGAAGTCCAAATGATTTTTGAAACCAAACTAAATAATGGTTGAGTTTGCTGACATTTTTCATGGTGAGTTTCCCGGGAGCACAGCGTCTTTAGTCGTCTTCATCCGTTCTGTGCAGGGGGCGAATCACTCCGGGTGTGTGACACTGGGAAGGCAGCTGCTGCGTTCTTCTCTTCTCTGATGGTCTCAACCAGTCCAAGTCCGAGGTAAGACAGAGTAAAAATGCCCTCGATTCCAAGATGAGACCGAGACCCTTAAAAAGTGGTCTTGAGACCGGTCTCAAGATCAGACCCATTTCGAGTACTACAACACTAATGTTGAGTTCAGGTTGAACAATGTGATGCACAAACTCATGGGTGTTCTCTTGTTCTCTGTATGGCAGTGTACAGAGAATACATGAAAATCATCTGTAGCAGAGGTCACATGTAAATAAAAGTCATTTGCAGCTTCGATCGTATTGTGAAGAAAATGTCATGACGCCTGTACTGTATATTTTCTTACATTTAAAACATGTTTTTTTTTTCCTTATTGGATCTCACTATACATAATCTTATGATACATAAGCATTGTTTGTTAAAGCACTCACATAACTCGTCCTAGATGTGGACAAACTTATTAAAATGAAAGGCCTTTGCTTCATATGACCCCATCCACCCAGACTACATCCCTGCAAATCCAGTGCAGCAAATACTTATTCACATTAAAAATCTGACTTTAAATATAGTAACAGCAGTGATTACTAGTCTGGAAGGACTATGTTGAAATACTTCAGAGGGATCAAGAGAGCAAAGGGCAGTTGTTGTTTACAAGATACAATTTTCATGTCTTTAACTAAATCCCCTGCATCTATTCTCTTACCTTGAGTTTTGAGAAAATCAAACATGATTAATTTTAAAGTTGGGTTTTAGCTTGTGAAAACTGAGTATTAGCACTCAGACTGCACATATATGGTTTGGGGTGATGTATCATCGCTACATCCCACATAACGTGTTACAGCCTCTGTAGCATGCTGCTACTTTTTAGTGCTTACTGTAAATCAAAATTTTGTCACTTTTACAATTAAATATATCAACTTGAAACATCTCATCATCTGTGTAAACTGGATGGACAGAGCACTGTGCAGACTGTGTGACACAAACCTGTAAAATGTAAACATGCACAGGACACTGCTGCTAGCATAGATGTCAGCAGGATGAATGAGGTGGATATACTGTATAAATACTCATAGTTTTATAGTCTGTGCTCTCCTGTAAACAGTGACACGTGACGTTTGTGATGTTTAAAAGCTCATTATGCTTCCTATGTGTATAAAGACACATACATAGTTTTTTAGCCCCATGATTCCTGGTGACACTGCAACAGGTGATCTGTATCGTTAAGGTTCCAGACAAGGCTCTTGAGAACATTTTGCACAACTTATCAATTCTCTGCATTTTGGTGAATAATTAAAAAGTAAAATACAATAATTTTCAGGTGATTAAAATTCCTCTTGCATAAAGCTCACACTCTGATGATAAATGATTTTTTTTTCATAGGGTCATTTTGAAAATGAGAGGTTAAATGTAAATAAAATGATAGAATTAATTGATTTAACTCTTAAATTAACAAGACTCTCCATCCAGAGTAACTAATTTAGTTCCTCTAGATGGAACTTCCATGATGCTCTTCTCTAAAATATTCTCCTGGAAGAGCATCATGATACCACGTTTTTAAAGTTTTATAATCTGATATGGTATCCATAAAGTAATTGTATATGTTTTATATACTCGAAGGGCATCAAGAGAGCATTTTTGTCATATTTTATATATGAATGATGCATCCAATGTAAAGCGCTTTGAGGGTCACTGATAAAGTGCTATGTAAAATCTGATGCATAATAATAATAATAATAATAATAATAATAATAATAATAATAATAATGTTATTGTTATTATTTATGTTTCACCCTGAGAGAGTGTCTGTATGTCTGTGTTCAGACTGTCTCATGTCATATTTTGTTTTAATGGTGAGTCTTTCTTCCTGCCTAGAAAAAAATAAAAGAGTTAAGAAATAATACCCCCTCTCAATCAGCTGAAGTGGTTTGGGCTGCTTTGCCCTCAAACCCTGGTACTTCACCCAGCCTGCACCTCTCAGTGTTGAGGAGGTGAGCAGCAGCTGCTGTTTTCAAAGGTGTGGAAAAAGCTCTCAATGCTTTTGTGTGGGTTTGTTCGGTTAATGAGCGTGAACCTAATGCTCTGGTTCTCTCTGGGGAACAAAGCCTTAGCACTAGCCTCACCAATGCCCTGTGTGTGTTTGTGTGTGTTTGTCTAAGTTTCAAAATTACTTTTTCTAGGTCTGTGACAAGAGCTGAAAATGAAGAGCCATAAATCCTTCCAGCCTCTGCTTCATCAAATAGAAGGTGACATGGCCATTATTGGAGACATCACTTAAAACTCAAGGTCAGGGTCAAGCAGCCCTTATCTTATTTTGGTTGGTAAAAAAAAACAGAGCTCAGAAAATTTCAAGCTTACAGCTCTGTCAACATACTCTCATGTCCAACTTGTCAGATGGGAAGCTTGGTCTATGGCCTTATCTTCAAGCACTGACTACATTAGGGTTCACAAGATGGAGAACAGGACACGGACTAATTTATTACAGAGACTGCAGTGATTCTGTCTCAGTGCCATGTATTTTAAGGTATTTCTATGACCATTTTGTCTGTTTCTCACTGTGTTTATGACCCTTTATTTGCAAAATATCCCAAATCCATCGATCAGTGATGAGAACAATGAGGAGTATAACGTCCATTAGTCCGCTGAAATAGCCGCGATCCACGGTTTGATTTTATTCACGCTGACTGCGATCAGTATGAGCGGTGACAGATTTTCCACATTAAAGGAGGAAATATTTGTAATATATCTTCGTTAACACCAAGTGTTTCGTTTCTACTTATTTGAAGCGTGGATCATAGTTGTGGAGTCGTCTACACAAACATTGAATACAACCAACAAGCGAGGTGTACAGGCTGTGTTAACTATCAATTGAACAAACAATACACGGATTCACTGCCCCCTATTGGCCAGAAGGGGACAGAACGAGTGGGGTCCATGATGTTATTTTCCGGCGCCAATTGAGATTGCGAACTCAGATTGAATTATGAGACACTTTTTGCTTTTTGCGAGCACGAAACAGCATTTCTGAGTTTGGTTTTTCGTTTTAATTTAGTCACAAAATGAGCAGTTTTAAAGAAGAAAATGAAAATACATTTGGAAAATTGCTTTTTAATTTTATTTTTGAGTCAAATAGTGCAGCCATGACTTTGAAATGAAAAAGCATTTCTGCTCATGCTTTTGAATTCGAGATATGAGTCACAATCGCTTCCACAATCAACTACATGAAAGCAGGATATTTCAGTTTTGTTTACTCAACAAAAACTCTCATTTATCCAACAAATTTGTCACATTTTTTTCAAAATATCTCACTATACTCTATCTAACCTGACATAAAATATAATATCCAAATATAAATCTTATTTCAAGGTACTGGAGCTCTGTGGGAAAAAAGCCCTTGAAAATGACACAGGTAATTTTGGTGTAATTTCAGCCACGTGATTTTGGCTAAAAACTTCATAATCACGATTTAAAGACCACAGGGAAACACTTTCAATAGTTAAGAAATCGATCAGAGTCTTAAAGGCGGTGGGTTCGCTGTTACAGTTTGAAGCTAAAGATGTAAATTTTGCAATTTCGTGAGTAGTTTAACATTTTTATTCCCTTCAAGTACACATTTAGTGAAAGAAAAAACTCGTACCTGAAAATATATTAATTTTTTCATTTGTGTGATATTCAGTTTGAGTGTAATAGTGGTCAGTGAGGATTACAGACTGTCGATGATCTGCTACGTGGACAACTTGGTTTATGAAAAAAATGTAATCATATCTAGATCTACCAATAGATTCACTTTAAAATGTTTTTCCTGTAAAAATAACTTAAATACATGCATATAAAATATCATGAGGCCCCTGTTCACTGAGCCAACATAATGACTTCTAATGCTAAGTACTGACACATAAAGCATAGTCCTACATTCCCAGATAGTTTTTGTTTTTTTTTTATTTATTTTTTAAATATTTTTTTTGTTGTATTTCTTATATATTTGTGTTCATTTCACTCTTTCATCTTCTTCTGTTTCTCATCATCGTGTCTTTCTCCTGCTTTTTGCTGTTGTTCCAGAGAGCAAGCCAAACCCTGGTACAGACAGAATCATCTCTACCTTCTGTCCAGGGAGTTGCGGCAACAGTGGTAAGGAAAAACTCCCTCTGAGAGGAAGAAACCTTGAGAGGAAACCAGGCTCTCTGGGGTGACCCTCCTCCTAAGGGTTGTGGGACCTCCTGGGGGCTGGACCTCTGGCCATCGCTGATGTGTGTGACTCCGTTAATGATCTGCTGATCCAGACCTGCAGAAACACACAGACACAAAAAAAGAAACGAAATCCCAGGAAAAGCAAGTAGTATACTGTAGAAAATAAAAGTAAAGAAAAATTACTTAGCTTGTCTCCCTGGTATTGCTCTTCTTGTGTCCTCCGAATCTTGGGTTTTTGGTCCAAACCCCCCTCCAAGATGTCCCACATTTCACCTCCTGCTCTAATCCTGAAAATACAGAAAAAACACTGACAGTGAAAACACAGTGGATGGCTTTCATGCCCTCCCTCCTCCTCTTAATGTGTCTGGTGTAGAACAGGATGTAGGCTGCCCTCTGCCACCGCTCGCACACGGACCATCCGGTTGTCTTGGTGACCTTTGAATCATCGAAGGTGAGCCAGTGGTCAGTTGGCTGGTTTGGATCATCCTCTGGATCAACGCTGTCACAGATGTAGTGTCCTGAGAGGAGAGAGATTGTTGTGTTGGTTATTTCACCTAAACTTATGATGTGTTTCCACCTTGTGACATACATCACCTAGTGATGCAACCTGGACACATCATCAGTGATGTGAGCTGGGATCATCGAGTGTTTCGGGTCTTTCAAGCATCATACACTCTCCTCCAGGCGACCCAGCCGGGGGTGATCAATCCCCAGCTTGTGTCCAGTTAGTGCTACCCTACCCACGGGTCTCCTCTCCTGATCCACAGCCACCGTGAGGCAACCTCTGCTGCCTCCGTGGCCTCCTTGATGGCCCTTCGCTTGCTTGGTACTGTGATGCCCAGCATGCTATAGACTCTGCAGAGGGACTGGCCTGCGAACCCTCTGCATCCCACCTCGATGGGCTCACATCTTGCCCACCACCCATTGAGTCTACATTCCTCCACCAGACCCTGGTATTTAGCCCTCTTCCTCTCGTTGGCCTCCTCGATTCGGTCTTCCCATGGTACCGTGAGCTCCAGCAGGACGACCTGCTTGGAGGTTGCTGAGATCAGTACCACATCTGGCCTCAGCGATATTGTGGCCACATTCTTTGGGAATACCAATTGTTTCCCCAGGTCAACTTTCAGCTCCCAGTCTTGAGCCATTGCTAGAAGGCCAGAGGAGGTGGTCCTGGCAGCAGCTGGTGGTGTCTCTGATGAAGGAGATGGATTTCCTTGTTGGGCGGAGGTGCTTGCAGTGGGCAATTCCATTGCAGATGGCGTTTGCTATGGCCTTCAATACCTGGTCGTGGCGCCAGCGGTAGCGCCCCTCACTCAGGCCTTTCGGACAGCAGCTCAAGATATGCTCCAGGGTCCCTCTCTTCTGACACAGTGCACAGGCAGGCGACTCAACCTTCCCCCAACAGAATAAATTAGACGGGCTCGGCAGTACATCGTAGACAGCCTGGATGAGGAATTTAATGCGCTGGGGCTCAGCTTTCCATAGCTCAGTCCAAGTGACTTTGCGCTCTGCCGCCTGCTCCCAACGCATCCAGGCTCCCTGCTGCCGCATTCCAACCATCCTGCTGGTTCTCTCTTCCTCCACTGCTGCTCGCACCTCTCCCTGGAGCAGTGCCCTCCTCTCCTTCCCCTTAGCCTTGTCGTAGCGAGGCGTTGCACCGCTACCAAGTGGTCTGGTTTGGTTCAGCCCAGCATGGTGCTAACCTGGTACAATCAGAGTCATTAAGAAAAACTATGAAGACAGCAAAGAAAGTTGACGTAAAACTGCATAATTGAATAAGGGGCCACGTTATGATTTAGTTCTGCCACAGAGAGACCCCAATATTTCTGAAATGTTTCAAACAAATGATGAGAGGAGCAGCCCTTCAGAGTGTGATTATCTTACCTTCTTCTCCTGAGTAACCTAAATGGCTGATGGTGCTACAGAGGCTGTAACATCTGCCTCCCTGAAAGAAAACACACATAATTTGAGTTAGCTTTCACCTTAACCCTTTTACATAAGAATCTTTTCATTTTGACCTCAGACTTCTTTTTCCATACCTGTTTCGAAGATATCACTAGATCCCTAGAGAGCTCGACGGGCTGGTGTACCTTCATTAGCTCATAAGATGAAGTGTAACAGAAACGCTTCAGGTGTAGGATGAGCACTCTGGAAAGGAGGAAACAAAAAGATTGTTGAAAACATGATCATGCTGTTGGACTGTAATGTGTGTAAAAGATCACAGAGATTAAGAAGTCAAGTTTGGGAACTTCTCAGAACATGAGTAAGCTCATCTGTGATGGATGTGATTTCTCACCTTGGCATTGTCTCAAACTCCACCCTCATTCTTGATGTGTTTCCTCCACAACTGCATTTATACTCCAACTCTGTTTCCTGCAGATCAGACACAAAAAGTGTATTATTAACTTTATCAAGCCTAAAAACAAACAGCTTTAAAACCCTGTGTGTATTCTGGTGGTGATGCTATGATTGAACTCGGGTTAGACTTACTGTCAGGTAATCTTCAATCATGTTTTCCACTGTACTTCCAGGAACCAGATTTAGTGACAGGTTGGTAAACTCTTCTGTTCTTCTGGACTGATCTCCACAACTGCAAATTCAAGGAACATATTTTAGTTTATTTTGTTTATTTCAGCACCTTCTATATAAAGTTAAGATGCTTTTTTCTCATTTTCTGTTAATTCAACTTTTAAATTTGTTGGGCTAAACACGACATTGAAGGACAGCAATCTTGTCTTTTAGCAGTTAAAAAATTATTATTATATATTACTACTATATTTTTTCTTTAATAGACTAAATTTGATGAGATAGTTTTAATGCCCTGACATTCAAGTAGATACAAATTGTGCATATGTGATACTTTTACTCCAAAATTGTACCTCTTGCAGGTCCTGGTGCTCTTCATCTTAAATGTCATATTGTCCTCTACAGGGCAGGTGTATGTCCTGGAATTTCTGGCTGCGGTTCCTGTCAGTGAAGAAGCCGGACTACTAATTTGGTTGAGGACTGTAGTCAGGAACTCGTGAGCATCCTAAAGACAGAGAAACACAGACAATGGTATTTATATGCAGCAAAAAAAAAGTATCATTAGGAGGTGAAAGAATAAGACATGTAACTAGATTACATACTTTTTGTTGGTCATCCCTGAATTGGGGTTCCTGATCAGAGACCGCCTTCTTGAACGATTGCAGAAGACATCTTTTACTTTGCCGGTCTGTTAACAAATGAGCATCCCTCAGAGCCATGAAATGTCTTCAGAGAAGAATAGAAAAGAGTTAATATGATGGTTCATTTTCTTCTGAATGTTTGTGGAGACATCTGAGAGTGACATGACTGTGTATGAAGTCTGAGAGTTTGTAGCTATAGTACCTGATCAAATTGGCCCGAGGGGCTGAACTCCAAACTGCGTCCTGACGGCTGATGTCCTGAACAAACTGCTCCAGTGTGAAGAAACTCTGCAGGAAACAGTTGCTGATCATCACTTGGATTGTTTCTTGAGAAAACATAAAAGGCCCCTGAATTGCCCGCTGATGCACACTGATAATTGTGCAGTTGACCAGTTCCAGCCATTTCCTCTTCCATAAAAGCAGCTTTATGACTTGATTTACTTCAAGACTTTATTCTTGTAAGTAATGATTTCATCACAACTTTATTCTTCTTAGTTATTACTTGATTACGACTTTATTCTTGTGAGTAAATATTTCATCACAACTTTATTCTCATGTCTAATTACTTTAATCTCATTTTTTTTTATTTAATATGGCCCTCATACTTAGCCTGGTGGGAAGTAACGTCAAGTGATTCACGCAACAGGATGGCCCTGCCAGGCTACCTCATACTCCCCTCGTATAAACTTCATATTTCATCAACATCTTTTTGCCACATTGTCAGGTAGCTAATTCAGTGTTTTGTTTTGTTTTTTGTTAGTTTGTTGTTAATTTCAAAATCGAAATATGATTACCAATCACCCTAAAAATAGGTTTCTTGTATCGGATAATTCTGTATGTAAGTTTCTATAAAGCAATGCATGCTTTGTTACATTAATACAGTGTGCACAAAAAATGTGCCTATTTTAATTTCTCTGTGAAGAAACTCTAGTACTCCATTGACACAACATATATGTAACATTACAAAGTGTCTCGGACTTACCGGCTATTAGTACAAAGGAGATGTAGCAGAGTCCCAAGCGGTTGGAAATAGACCAATTTACAGCCTACCTCATCCAGAAGCTGCAGCACAGCATGGCAAGTGTCAATAAAAGTTCCTACTATTTTGCCCTAAAAAATATATGACCTAAAAAAATATAAAACGTCCTAAACTCTGTCCACCACACATCTGAGCAGAGACATACCTGATCAAACCTGAGGAAGTATTTCTTACCTTCACTCTGGAGTCTAAAACAGTCAGCATTATCAGTCATCCAGCCCCAGCAGTTTAATAATCCACCAATATTATTCACATCCCGTTTCTCGTGGTCAGTGCGTTTCATCCAATTGCATTGTGTGAAAAAAAGTTTTGTCTCGTTTAGCTTCAGGTGTCCTGATAGAGACCGACAGCAGGAGCATCTCTGGACTTGGTACCGAGTCCAGACCACGGGTCCAGACAGGCCACGACTAACTCACCGCATCGAAACCGAGACACGTTCCGTGTCCAGGTGGAAGAAGACCGGGAAATAAACGACTGAGCCGGCCGACCAGAAACAGCGCTAAAAACTTTGAGGTTGAGGTTGAGAACCCCTGGGTTAAGGCATAAGGTTTATGAACATTATTGCGATTTGGGATGAAATTGAATGAAGTTACTTATGGCACTTAAGTAAGTTTGGTTACAAACCTTTCAAAGTACATGATATTACTTAAAGTCACTTTCCTGGAGGGTCAAGATTTTCTGTTTATTTTACAATGGATTTGAACAATGGTCTCATCGCCACTGACCTCCATCTGCAGCAGACTCACCTGACTTAATTTAGTGGACAGTGTTCAGAAATGACAGTAGAGGGATAATTTTGTGTCACTGTTGACACATTGGACCAAGCTGATGTATTTGAGGTCTTAACAATGACAACAACCTGGTTCTGTACTGTAGAGAAGACAGCCAAGTGCTTATGAACATCGTCTTCCTGACCTGCTGACAAAGCGGCAAGTCAGCTCTTAGTGAACGTCATATATGTTCGTTTAACTAGAAGGGAGAGACTCAAAGTAGACACCCACATTCATTCAATTGACTGGGTGTCGTCTGGGCTAATATGAACACATTGATCAGGAGTAAATGGAGACATGTCTGCAGGATGTGTGCGCCATGACACAAGCACCATCATGGATGAATAGATACCTGTGTAAGTGACTATCGATTATCTTGTCAAGAGCTGTTGGCAATGATGGAGCAATTGCGTGAACATGGATGTGATTTACATATCTTTCACAGTTGATTATTGACAGAGCTCTCTGAGGGTTTTAATAGGGCTATGCTTGTCAGACACAGTTACGGCTTAAAACATGCATCTTTTGCAGTTTTTCTGCTTCTGTATATTGTTCCATTTACCTACGCTGTTACATCTTGTACAATGCAAACTCTCTTTGTTGTGTTGTTTGAAAAATAAGAACAAATTCTCAACCAAAGAATTGTACTTGCAATGTAACAGTTTCATTAAGCAGAGGCTTTTGTCCAAAGCGATGTATATTTGATTACAATGTACATCGACTACATCATCATCATTATCAAAATCATATTATGTTGACCACTGAACTACCAAGTCATGGTTCAAGAAGTTCTCAGAAGTAGATGGGACTGTTTGGATCAGAAGTGGTTGTATCAGCTGTTCTTTCTCCGTGGACGAGAGGTGTTCCCTAAAGAGCCGAATCTTGATTTATTCCTTAGAGGTAGAAAGGAACTTTTTAGATCTGATAGATTCTGAGTTAGTGACTAAGGGCCCTGTTGTAATGGGAGCACCAAGAGCCTTATATTGGCAGAGTGTAACGAGTCAGGATTTTCAGGTAGGAGCTGTTTTTGTTGCCGTTTCGTAAACACAAAGTCGGGCTTTATAGTTGATATGTGCTGCAACTGGGAGCCAATGAAATAAAATGAACAGCTGACTGCCATGCCATTTTAATTTGGTTGAAAACCAGACGGGCTGCTGCAGAGGTTTGACTGTGCACACAGGGTAGTCTGCCAGTATGGAGTTGCAGTAGATGTTACAATATGCCGTGCAAGAGCCGTGTTGTGTGGCCAGGCAGAGTCTGATCCTCCTGATGATATAGGCAGTATGATATAGGACCTAGCAATCAAGGCTAAATGAACCTTAAAAGGTTATTTGGCCATCAATCATAACTCCCAGATTCTGGGCAGACTTAGTGGGTGTAACCTGGTTTGATCCAAGCTGGATCTTGATCTGTGGTTGTAAGGACGGACTAAATGAAATGACAGGAAGCTCCGTTTTCGACAAGCTGAGCAGAAGATGTTGTTCCTTCATGCCTTAAGAAACATCACTGAGGTATGACGAGACTCGTGCTGAGACAGTTGTGTCATATAGGGTTGGGTGACAGAAAGAGCTGGGTATCATCTACATAGGGGTGACACTTCCCATTTTTAATGCAAAATCTCAACAGCAAAAAGAGCATCAAGCACAAACCAAATCTGTAGAAAGAAATCCAACATATTTCACCACTACTTGTTGACACTGTGGAAAAATTGTTTGTTTCTGTCTCAGTTTAATGTTGAGAGCGGGTAGCTGATAACAGTTTTTATACATTTTAAAGTAAGACCATACTGACAAGAGGGTTTTTTTCCCCCACAATATGCATATGTAGAGAGTGGAATTATCATTAAAGTAGACTTTTAAAATCCACTCATTTTAAAAGACTAGTGGCTTTCAGAAGACAAACTTTATGTGTCTCTGCAAGGTTCAGAGGCTTTACTACCTCAAAAAGTAGATTAATGTATTTTCATAGACTGTCAACATCCAGTCCCTCAAAAACAAACATGATCTGTGATGATTTATGAACTAATTAAAGTGAAATAGTCTTATATCTGTTATTATTTGACTGTGCCATGGAAGACCGACATCTTTATTTGATCTGTGGACCAAGCAGAGGCTGTATCTGTGATCGGCTTATTATAAAGGTCCCATGTGAACTCAGGGAATCCTGAGACAGACGTCACAGTGTGCTCACAGCACAGAAACACAAAAATTAGGTCTGATTTCAGCAGCAACAAACTTGGGCACCTTGTACTTATTGCTTCTCACTGGCCCCCAACATCAATGTCTGAGGGAAGGCAAGACAAAGAAGATGGGGTTTATATACTGCAGTTTTCACTCAGGACATTCAGACTGATTTAGATGTTTGTTAATGTCCACCTGACCTGAGATTGATTTGTAAAAGTCAAACATTATGGCTATCATCTCTTCTTGTCGCTGCTTGCTCATTCAGTCTTATTTTTGGGATGATACCTCTCTTTGCAGAATGACTTCCAGGGACAGCTAAAGGTGTTGCTTATTATCTGAATACTGGCAACCTTCTTCTATCCATTGGACGTTAGCTGCGGTCTCAAAGGCAGTTTGTAAGTCTGGCATTAAGCCAGTGAAAATCCTTCCTTCAAATTGTTGTCCATCAGCTGCTATCACAGCCTCTCTTTGTAGCCAAGAAAATAATTTGACATCTAACTAAACATCAGCCTCTTGTGAAAATCATTTAAAGCCTCACTCTGCGCCAATCATTGTCTTCAAAATTCCATTTAGGGACTTGATGGATTTACAATTGGTATTCTCAGTCAACCTTGTGAGGGAGTTATGGAGCTGAGACTTTCCCTGCTGCTCAGAGAGTAAGAGGTGATCAACAATATGCAAAAAGAGAACCAGACATTTATCACTGAAGCAGTTCTTCCATGTGCTGTACATGTGGCTCTGAAATGACAGCAAAAGAGGGTAAAATCTGCATCCTGACCTCAAGTTTTCTTTCATCTGCAAAAACTCTCCACTGTTTGGAGCCGAGCAGGAAAAATGGTTATTTCTATGAGCTCTGTCACTAATAGCTGCCGCAGTCTGTGACCAGAAACATTTACATCAACAACAGTGATAGCTGAACTAAAACCATTGCTTACTTGAAAACTGAAACAAAGAGCTTCAAGATGCTGAAGTAACTAGCTGAGCTGTCAGCTGATATAGACTGGTGTTAGAACCAGCAGATGCACTGTGGGTTGAGCTTTATTTTTGTTTGCTGCCAGAACTGAAGCAACACTCAATTTTCTCATCACTTATGAGTTTAGAGTTTAGGGATATTAGGTTTGCCAAAATAATAGTATCATGACACAGATGTACAAAAAGTAAAAGCGCACACTTTGTCAGGTATGTCCCAAGTGGCAACTTCCAGTCTTGAGAAATGAAGCAGATGTTCCTTCAATGTCCACGGGAGGGTGGCTACACCGAGTAGGAAACAAAATAAACAAAAAAAGCCAATCCTACAGCAGAAATCAACATGTTCCAGCCTGGTTTCAAAACCACAAGCCTTGTGATTGATCCGCTAGGTTGCAGGCATTGCGGTTGTTTTTAGTTGCCATGCTTTCCTTAACGCTAAGTAAAGAAGGGGAAATAGTGGAACAACAAATTGGCAATGTGACAATCATAGAGACTCCAGTGAAGAAGTATGAAATGCACACATCAATGTGAGCACCTACAGTGTAGGTCCAGCATATGTTCGACATAGGTCCGGTTTAAGTCTGACACAGTAGCATAAACTAGGCTCTGTCAGCAGCTAGACCTCAACTTTTTATTGTCAGTTTTCAGATACTCATGTCAATAGCAAGTCCCAGAAACTCCAACATAATATTCATCAATTATTTTTATTCCTGGGACAATGGTTTTATATACATATTGAAAGCTTACAGACAAGATAATGTACAAAAGCAAATTTCTAAATGTAAGATGCATTTTGAGGAACGAGATTTCCTTTGTTTGATTTCTTTTCAAAAATAAATATTATTTTATCCAGTCTTTGCAGCGGCAGTATGATTCAAGTGTATTAACATGTTTTGATCCTCATCATCCTTAGCTGTTAGACTTCACACTCATTCGTCACACAGTGGGATCTAAAGGTTTGTTTTTGAAAGAGCAGTCACAGAGAAAAAGCCGAACCCATCTGTGCCAGAGTCAAAATCAAACAGAGCCTGCATGTATTCAGGCAGCCGGTGGGGGCATTACTGGGAGCTGTTTAATTGCACAATCAACATGCTTACCAGTTTGCTCTCGGTCAACAAATAGTTTTGCACTGTGGCAAACGACTTGAATCAAGCATTGCACAATCTGTGCTGGACACAAAGGACAACGCTGTGCTGAGATGACTAACAGCTTTCTTTGGGCTGTCAGCTCATCGGAAAACATAAAAATGCCACAGCAGATGGATGGAGCATGAAAGTATCCCTCTCAGTGCCTTTGCCAGCACAGCAATCATCACCATGGCCCCTTGGTGTGTCACCCTAAGGGGAAATCTGGTGTGCAAGAAACTCACAGGTACAACTGACCAAATTTGGTCCCATTTCCTCCCGGTCCTATTGTCCACTGATGGAGGTGGGGGATTCAATCTCCTAGGTGTGATAAAGGTGTGGGCCCCAGGAAAGCTAACTGCGAACAGAGGGGGGACAAGAAACAGGAGATTAGTCTCTGTCATGTAGGGATTGGAGTGACATGGGTCTGGATCCTGGAGGTTGGAGCTGTTTCAAGCAGGAAAATTCCTGTTTCTCAGGATTGATTGCAACAAGGAGAAAGGAAGAGGGAGAGAGAAACAAACTGATGGATGAATGGATTAAAGGAAGTGAATGTTCAAGGGACAAAGAATTGAAGTCATGTGATCCTGAAATGAGAGCCAGATGAACTGTTGATTATTCTCAAGGAGGAACCTTGAGAGCTGAAAAGAAGCATTTATCCTATTCTCTTGTTCCTTGTGAAGATACATCTTTGACGCTCATTCCCAGCAGCTTTACACTCCATTGACATGAATCTGCTGTGGACCAGTGGAACAATGTATAGCATTGGAATTTGAACATTGGAAAAGTTATTGATATATAAAAGTGGAAATCAGAATTCAAACAGTATTTACCCAAGGATTGATTTGGAGTTTTGGCTTGATGTTTTGCAAATGGGGTCCAAGACAGTAAGTTAACATGCTGGCGTTAGTTAGCACCTTGAAGCCTTCGGATAACACACAGTAAATGGCATTTGTTAACCTAGACCATGGCAAAATGAGACTGCTGTAATGACTCTGCAGTGGTCCGTACTTTAGCTTGCTTTATGATGATGTAGTGAGAACACAGGAAGACCAAAGACAAAAACACAACAATGCCTCATTTTATCATCTGATTCAAAACAGAGAAACTACAGGTGTGAAATCACCCTCAGATTCATGATCACTATTTGCTCTCTGAGCTGCAGTCAAAGTCCCAGCCTTCATAACTCACACTCCAGGCTAAGAATATGAATTATACATTTATTGAGTCTCCAGCTGAAATTTGTTAGACACTGATTGCTGCAGAGTGAAGCTTTAGATTACCTTCACAGGAGGCTGATGTTCAGTTAGACATATCATTGTTATTGGTTTCTGCTGTCAGAAGCAGCAGGGGAAGGGTTGAGCTGAAGCTGACAGTCACGAATGACTGGCAATCACGTGAAGGTTTGGCTTGTGACTGCGGTTGATGTTGGATCTGAACTGCTTCTGTGCAGGTCATGGCTGATCATTTGAAAGAAAATACTAACCAATACATTTTAGTCAGAGGTATGGTACTCCCAGTAAGTAAGAAAGCCAGTCTCTCTGACAGAAAACTCAAGGGGCTGCAGACTGGTTTTCTACATGTGTCATGTCATTATACAGCTCTTATCTTGGAGGTGCCAGTGCTGTAAGCTGTGGTTGAGACTAACTTCCCTCAAACTCAATACTGTAAGTATTATAATGAACTTGGGTAACCTGTATTAAATCTGGAAAATATACTATATGTGCAACTGTATGGTGAGTTGTTACAGCACCACAGTGACTGTTAGGCTACGTTCACACTGCAGGTTATGATGCACAATTCAGATTTTTTGTTAAATCTGATCTTTTTGTGCGGTCGTTCACATTACATCAACGAATACTGCATCTAATGTGAACGGAATGCGTCCGTTTCGTGACCTGCATGCTCACAAAGCACAAATTGCTTTCCACACCTGCTTGTGTTGTCGAACAATGGTGACGTTTGTCGCATATTGATGATGTATAGGTTGGATGAATGCGACCTGAGTGTGCACCCTGCAGTCACATCAGATACATATCCGATTTATACCCACATACAAAAGAGGCCTGGGTTGGATTTGAAAAAATCTGAATTGCACTGTTCACACTTACAGATGTGTGTCACATATGGTTAAAAAAATCGGAATTGACCTGCAGTGTGAAAATAGCCTTAGACACCTTACAGAACAAGTTTAAATCCACCTGCTGAGTCAGCTGTCAACTTCCAAGAAAGGGCACTTCTTGCTGGGTATTTGAGAGCAAACTGAGGAGAAAGATGAGGTAAGGTTTACCTGTTTTACACCCTGAAGCCATGATGAGCAAAACTATTTCTGTCTGTGTAATGCTAATTAACTTTGTAATTTTGCATAAAACTCAAGGGGGCTGATTCAGAAAGTCTCAGGGCATGTCTGGAAATAAGAACTGGTGCTCTTTGAGTAGATTTTAAGCTCCTTTCTTTCACTTATACTGAAATATTGCATAACATACAGTATATCACTCATCACTGAAAATACAGCTAAATACAAAAAGCTTTCAATCCACTGTCTGAAGGCTGCTTGGAGCTAGGGTTAGCCATTATTTTTCTTGATAAGTTCCTAAAAATAAGTATTACATCTTATTTTATAAAACTTAGCCAATAATTTTTGCTACCTGCATTTACAGACAATTCTGTTTCTTATAATCAAATACATCCTTGTTTTTGCTCATAGTAGCCAGCCTCTGTAAAAAGCCAGCCATTAGCCTACTTAAGAGTGCAGGCACCATCTCCAAAGTGTGATACTGACAAAAGATGCAGCAGACATACAGTGCCTTGAAAAAGTATTCATACCTCTTGAACTTTTTCACATTTTTTCACTCTACAACTACAAACTTAAAAGTATTTTATCGAGATTTTTTGTCATAGACCAACACAAAGTAGCACATAATTGTGAAGTGGAGCGAAAAAATTATACATGGTTTTCAAAAATTTAAACAAGACAAGTCTAAAAAGTATAGTGTCCATTTATATTCAGCCCCCTGTGTCAATACCTTGTAGAGCCACCTTTTGCTGCAATTACAGCCACAAGTCTTTGGGGGTATGTCTCTACAAGCTTTGCACATCTAGAGACTGAAATTTTTGCTTATTCTTCTTTGCAAAATAGCTCAAGCTCAGCCAGATTGGATAGAGAGTGTCTGTGAACAGCAATTTTCAAGTCTTGCCACAGATGCTCAATGGGATTTAGGTCTGGACTTTGAATCAATATTCTTTGATCTAAACCATTCCATTGTAGCTCTGGCCATATGTTTAGGGTCATGTCTTGCTGGAAGGTGAATCTATTTCCCCAGTCTCCAACAGGTTCTCCCAGGATTGCCCTGTATTTAGCTCCATCCATCCTCCCATCAACTCTGACCAGCTTCCCTGTCCCTGCTGAAGAAAAGCATCCCCAGAGCATGAGGCTGCTACCACCATGTTTCACAGTGGGGATGGTGTGTTCAGGGTGATGAGCAGTGTTACTTTTCCACCACACATAGCGCTTTGCATTCAGGCCAAAAAGTTCAACTTTGGTCTTATTTGACCAGAGCACCTTCTTCCACATGTTTGCTGTGTCCCCTACATGGCTTGTGGCAAACTGCAAACTGGACTTTTTATGACTTTCTGTCAACAATGGCTTTCTTCTTGCCACTCTTCCATAAGGGCCAGATTTGTGGAGTACACGACTTATAGTTGTCCTGTGGACAGATTCTACCACCTGAGCTGTGGATTTCTGCAGCTCCTCCAGAGTGACTATGGGCCTCTTGGCTGCTTCTCTCACCAGTGCTCTCCTTGCTTGGTCTGTCAGTTTAGGTGGACGACCATGTCTTGGTAGGTTAGCAGTCGTGGCATACTTCTTCCATTTTTGGATGATGGATTGAACAGTGCTCCTCGAGATATTCAAAGCTTTAGATATTTTTTTTATTACCTAACCCTGCTTTAAACTTCTCCACAACTTTTTCCCTGACCTGTCTGGTGAGTTTCTCTGTCTTCATGATGCTCTTTGTTGACTAGTGTTCTCTAACAAAGCACTGAGGCCTTCACAGGATATCAGCATTGTATTTATGCTGATACTAAATTACACACAGGTGGACTCTATTAACTAATTAGGTGACTTCTGATGGCAATTGATTGCACTGCATTTTATTTAGGGGTATCAGAGTACAGGGGGCTGAATACAAATGCACACCACACTTTTCAGATTTTTATTTGTTTCAATTTTTGAAAACCATGTATCATTTTCATTCCACTTCACAATGTGTGCAACTTTGTGTTGGTCTATGACAAAAAAACTCAATGAAATACTTTGCGGTTGTAGAGTGACAAAATGTGAAAAAGTTCAAAGGGTATGAACACTTTTTCAAGGCACTGTATTCAATAAGTTCACCTTGGATAGATGCAGAGATGGGAATTGTGGAGTCATCAAGTCATCTCTATGCCATGTATTTGATCTTCTCAGTTACTGAACCAGGTGCCTTCACTAATGAGCTCATCTTCCTGGCTGCTCATTGGAAGCAGCTGGTTCAGTGACAGAGCAGAACAAATACATGGCAGAGAGATGACTTGGTGACTCTACAATTCCCATCTCTGCATAGATGTGGAGTCAAAAGCACCTTATACCTGGATCTTGTTGGTTAGATTTCATCTATAAGTTAGAGAAAACATGATTAGACATGATATGTGGGTGTCCCCAATCATACTCCCTCACCCACACTGCCACCAGGCAGCAGTAAATAAATACTCAGTGCTCTAAGTACATTTCAAATGAAGTAATGTTTTTATTTTTTACTCAGGAGACTAACAGATTGGCAGTTACACTCAGACAATAGTAAAGTGCCGCAAGAGTGACTGTACTTTTGCTAAAGTGTAGTATTGAAGCGCTCTCTCCGCCTCAGACAGCATGTTTATATTGTGGTGTGTGACAGTGACGGCGGTGACGTTGGATGACAGCCTCGCCTCCCCAACAGTGCATTCTGGGTCCAACCCAAGATGGCTGCGCCCTTGCAGAAGTGCTGAAGAAGTGCCTCTCCAGAGCTGTTCTCGGGATTCTGTGTGATTTCCGCAAAAACCGTCGCACCAAACACACAACCGGGTCGCTGGTTTGTAGGAGAAGACCGCACGGCCCCAGTCATCGATAATTGCGGTCGGTGCTTCGCGTGGCTGTGGCAGACTGTCCGTGTGAAGATGGGCCTCGTCTCCAGCCCCTTCCCATAGCGAAGAGCCGTGGGGAGAGGAGCCGCAGATTCCCATGCAAACACGCGCCT